AACAAATGATGCTGGAACAACTTGATATCCACATGCAAAATAATGAACTTCCACATTTATCTGACACTACATACAAAAATTCAACTTGAAATGGATCATAGAGCTAAATGTAAGAGATAAAACTTCTAGAAGAAAACATAAGAGAAAATTTCAGTGCCTTTGGGTGTGACAAACTTTCCTTAAATACAACACAAAAAAGCATGAACAACTCTTACAACTCAATAACAGTAAGACAAACAACCCAGTTTAAAAAAAAATTGGCAAAAGAATTTTAGAGATATTTTACCAAAGAGGGTACATGGATGACAAATAAGCACACAAAAAGATATTGAATGTTAGTCATTAAGTAAATGCATATTAAAACCACAATGAAATACAACTACACTCCTGCTAGAGTGGCTAAAGTTAAAAAGACTGACCCCACTAAATGTTGGCAAGGATGTGGAGCAACTAGAACTCTTATGCAATGCTAGTGGATATGCAAAATGGTAAAACCACTTGGGAAAACAATTTAAGAATTTCTTAAAAAGTCAACATACACCTACCATATGATCCAACCATTTCACTGCTGGGTATTTACCTATATTCATATCTACTGCTGCATACCAATATTACCACAAGCTTAGCGACATAAAGCAATACATATTTATTATCTCACAATTTCTGTGGCTCAGGAGTCAGGGCATGGCTTAGATAGGTTCTCTGTTTTAGAATTTCATGACTTCTGGCCGAGCACGGTGGCTCACGCCTGCAATCCTAGCACTCTGGGAGGCCGAGGCGGGAGGATTGCTTGAGGTCAGGAGTTCGAGACCAGCCTGAGCAAGAGCGAGAGCCCCCATCTCTACTAAAAATAGAAAGAAATTAATCGGACAACTAAAAATATATAGAAAAAATTAGCCGGGCATGGTGGCACATGCCTTAGTCCCAGCTACTCGGGAGGCCGAGGCAGAAGGATCGCTTGAGCCCAGGAGTTTGAGGTTGCTGTGAGCTAGGCTGATGCCACCGCACTTTAGCCCAGGCAACAGAGCGAGACTCTGTCTCAAAAAAAAAAAAAAAAAAAAACTAGAGTTTCATGACTTCCTTTCTAAGGCTCAACTGGGGAAGGATTTACTTCCAAGAGCACATGGCTGTTAGCAGCAGTCAGTTCCTTGTGGGTTGTCAGACTAAGGTGAAAAATTTTTTTTTTTTTTTTTTTTTTTTTAGACAGAGTCTGGCTCTGTTGCCCTGGCTAAAGTGCGGTGGCATCAGCCTAGCTCACAGCAACCTCAAACTCCTGGGCTCAAGCGATCCTCCTGCCTTGTCCTCCCAGAGTGCTAGGATTGCGGGCATGAGCCACCACGCCCAGCCTAAGGTGAGAATTTTTTTGCTGGCCGTTGGTCAGATGCCACCCTTAGCTCCCCACTAACATGATCCTTCCCAACATGGGGACTTGCCCTACTCAAAGCTAGCAAAGAAGATAATCTCTCCTATTAGGGTGGACTCAACAGGCTTGTTTATAATGTAATCATGTACACATAATCATGTACATCATCTTTGCTGTTATCTTACTGGTTAGAAGCAAGTCACAGATTCCACTCACATTCAAGGGGCAAAGAATTATCCAAGGGCATGGATAATGGGGCAGCCGCTATCCAGGGAAAACACACACACACACACACACACACACACACACACAAACACACACACACAAAGCTGATAGCGGGTAATACATGTGTCCACTGTACTATTCTTTCCCTTTTATGTCTATCTACCATATTACCCAAGAGAAATGAAACGTATGTCTACATAAAAACTTGAACACAAATGTTCTTAGTAGCTTTATTTATACTAGCCACAAACAAAAAAAATTCAAATATCCATCAACAGGTAAATGGGTAAGATAAATTGTGGTATATCCACACAATGGAATACTCAGCAATAAAAAGGAACAACCAATTGATGTATGCAACAACATGGATGAATCTCAAAATAATTAAACTAAATGAAATAAATTAGGCAAATGAGAGGACATACTGTATGATTCTATTTATATAAAATTCCTGAAATGTAAACTAATTCATAGTGACAAAAAGTAGATCAGTGGTTACCTGGGAAAAGTGTAGAGGGGAGGAAAGGGATTACTAAGGAATCTCTGCAAGGAATCTATGAGGAAATTTCTTCAGTGATAAATACGTTCATTATCTTGATGTGGTGATAGTTTCACATGTGTATACATATGTTAAAATTCATCAAATTGTACATTTTAAGTATGTGTACAATTTGATGAATTCCTAAATTATACTTCAATTTTGCTGTTTAAAATTTTTAAAAAACATAGGATCCACTTTCAACAGGGACACCATGTCATATCAATGCACTCTGTTAAAATAAAAAATTTTCAATTATTTACCATTAAATAAAATTGATGACAAGAAAAATAAAGAATATCTTAACTGCATAAAGTATTCAGAATAGGCTATGTGAATGAGGTAACATTTAAATGGACTTTTAAGAACAAAGATTTTAATGTGTAGAGATAAAGTAAAGGTATTTCCTGCCCAAAAAGATCAATTTATTAATGCATTTTTTTAAGAGATGGGTTCTCACTCTGTCACCCAGACTGGAGTGCAGTGACACAATCATAGCTCACTGCAGCTTCAAACTTCAGGGATCAAGCAATCCTCCTGCCTCAGCCTCCCAGGTAGCTGGGACTACAGGCACACACCACCACACCTGGCTTGTTTTTTACTTTTTTTGTAGAGACTGGGTCTCCATATGTCGCCCAAGCTGGTCTCAAACTCCTAGCCTCAAACAATCCTCCTGCCTCAGCCTCCCAAAGTCCTGGGATTACAGGTGTGAGCCACCACACTTAGCTTCAACAAGCATTTACTAGCAATTGTGTACTCAAATAACATGTTAAGCACTGTAAAGACCTTTTCAACTTCTGTTAGCAAACTTCCAAACTGGGTTTCATAAATTTGGGCATGGCCAAGGAAATTATGCTCAAATTTAGCTGCCATGTTCCTAGTGTTCACAGTCACCAACTGACTTGCATAATTCTTTTTCCATTGTAGGAGTGAGGCGTTGCATTAAAAAGCAGCAAATTATGTAAATAAATTTAATGTAAATCAGCATGCAGTTTTATACATGTGATGGATATGCACATGTTAATATTAATAGATAATCAGTTTCACAACTGCTATCTTGAATATGAAGCAAAATTATGAAGCTCTGATTACTTTGAGCAAATAAACCTTGTAACTACCTTGAGATTCTATTTTCTTTTTTGAAGAATTATGGTTTACAGGTAGAGTAACCATGTGATTTACTGTCCAAACTTCTGAATGATGGGTGCTATTAATTATGCTGGTCAACAATACTGCAGCAGGTCTGTCACAGGCAAATTGGGCTATATAGTCACCCCAGGTACAGGGAGGTTTTGTTTTGTTGTAAAGTTATTAATACAAGTACAGATTCTGGAGCTCCACCCCAGAACTACTGAATCAGAATTTCTATTGTGGGATTTGAGAAGACTTATACTCTAATGTAGTATCATTAAAGGCTCTTCCAATTCTAAATTCTATGTTTAATAGGGGGATTTTGAATATAGACTGGATATTAGATGATATGTGGGAATTATTGTTAATCGTCTTATATATAAATAATGACATTGTGATTATATAGGAGAATGTCCTTATTTTTAGGAAATACACATAGCTGCATTTAAGGGTAATGTTGATTCAGGGAATACACACACACACACAATTAAAGCTGATAATGGGCATACAGGTGTCCACGGCACTATTCTTTCAATTTTATATATGCTTGAAATTTCTCATTATATAACATTAGGAGGAAAAGACTATTAGGGAAAAATATTTGTATTTAGAGGTGAGACAGCATTATTGTTATAAATATGACTTAAAAGAACTATAACCAAAAAGATGTCAAATCAAGTGATTACTAAAAAAATCCAGCCTGTAATTCCTATTCTTGGACTTTTTTCCTAAGAAAAAATAATGTCAAAGATATTCGCTGCAGAATTGTTTAAAATGGTGTTATTTTTGCAACATTCTGAATGCATAACAATAATGGCATAAATTACAGTGCACTGGCACATTCATCGAGGGATTATTACACAACCACCAAAATAATCATTTTCAAGAATATATTGTATACATTGACCCATGCTGCTAGATGCAAAAACAATCCAAAATTGTATCTATGCTATAACTATATAACATTGGTGGATTCAAGTGGACAGAACCGTAAGTTTATACGGAAAATGCTACCTGTTTGAAAAGCAGTTTTTCCTCCTCTATTTTTATTTCGAATTCTGCTAATAATTTAAGTAGTGCACTCCCTTTTTCAAGCAACAGTAATGCATTTTTTAAAAACAGGTCGTTACCTGTCACCTTAATTTGGCCCCAAGAGCAGTACAGGTTAGCTTATAATTCGTTGAACAACTAAGATTTAAGGCGCCTCAACTGCTAGATGCATATCTATTTTGGGATAGCCACAGAATCGTTTTGTCAACTACAAAGATAACGAACATTATGTGTAAAGTGTGTTGCTAAAAAGGTCTCCAGACATCACAGAACACCCACCGCAATGTGTGGGCTAAGTGCACATGGACAATGATGACAGAAATAATACCTGTCATACAGGACCGGCATGTCAGCCTTTTCTCTGCGAAAGGCTTCTGGTCGTAGGCTGCCCCCTACTTTCACCAGAATGAGAGGCTTCCGGAGTCCCTGGCAAGGAAGGCGACTGGTCCCTTACCCAGGAGGCTAGAAACTGCTAGATGTGAGCGCAAAGTTTCCGAGGCCTTTCAGCTGTGCCCCACAGCACGCGATGATTCCCCAGTTGCTAGGTTTAGTTGCTAAGATACCAACCGTTTCGCAGGAAAAGGGGAGCGGTGCACTCCCTTTTGGCGTCGTAGCGAATCCTCTAGAAGCCGAGCCTATTGATTCCGGGAGAAAATCGAGTCCTCTAAGAGGGACGGGAAGGCGAGGAGAAGCTGGGAGTGACGCCTCTGAGCCGCGAAGGATTGTGGGAGGAGGTTGTCTCCAATTTCTCCTCCCCCTCCCGGCCAAGATGTCTGACATGGAGGATGATTTCATGTGCGATGATGAGGAGGACTACGACTTGGTGAGGCGCAGGGAACAGAACTCTGGGGCTGGAGATGGTGTCTGGTTTTCGGGGCACGCCTGGGACAGCCGCGGCCTTTCTCTGTAGATCATGTGCCGCTTCCACCCTCTCGCGGTTCAGTGACAGGACGGGTTTACCTCCTCCCCCTTCCCGCACCCGGCTCGGGCCCCGCTTCTCTAGCATGGGGGAGGGGAGGGTAAAGGAGGCAGCGAAGGGGGTCCCCGGCCTTGCGCTCCAAGTCCGAGCTTCTCCTCGGTTTACATGGACGCCTCTGGCCCCAGGCGTCCGGTTCTCGGTGCCTCCCACCTTCTCCCCGCCGCGCGAGCCGCCTCGGTGACCGTGCTGCCGTGTAGGCCCTGGCTTTGCCCTTTCGGGCCCAGCATTCTGGGCCCCTCTTCTTCAGCCTGAATTAAGTGGGTGCGAAATGCTGGGAGAAGAGTCTGAAAACTGGGGGACCTTACTGCTCTCAGGCTTGACTGCGAAAGGCCACTTGAGTCTCTTGGAGACACAGCTTAAATAGTCTTGTCCAGGGTCTGTTTTGGTCTGAGGTGAGGGTGTAGTGGAGAGTTCAGAGCAACGATAGCTGGAAGAAAGTAGTTGAAATGCTTGTTCAGTTCTTTAAAGAGAAAAGCTGGAGAGGAGGTTTTGCTTGTTTGTTGTTGTTTTTTTTGGGAAGAGGGGATAAGAGAATTGAACCCGTGGCTTTTTACTTGACTTACAAATTTCCCAGTATTTAGAGTTTAAAACAGCAAAAGCGAAGAAATAAGCGAATTTAACTAGCTGAATGGTGATTTTTAAAATTGAAGGTTTAATTTATGAATGGGTTTACAAGTTTATAAAAATTCACTGATGTTTCAGGTTGCTGTTCAAAACCGTTGTGTGGGAACTAAGAAAAATTATCTTGACCAAGAATTAACATCCACTTTGCTTTGGTTCTTTATTTTGGGGGTGTTTTGTGTGGTTCTTGTATATTATGGTGATTCTACATTATTGTAAAGTTAGGAAGTAGATGTTTTGGGAAGTCTGGTTCATATTTTAAGTGCCAGAAATTCTGAAGATATTAATGTATTGTTTTGAATTAGTATATAATTTATTTGCACGGGGGAATTCAGAAATCCTTTCCAATTAATCTTTGCAATTTAAAAGAAGACACATTTTGCAAAATGGAGAGGGAAATTCTTTTACTTCAAAGCCATAGCAGAGATTTTGATAAAGTTAATGTAGAGTTTTGCTAATAGTTATGGTTTCTACCTTACATTTTAGTTTGTGCAAACCAAGCCAGTTGTGGGCAGTGCCTTAGTTCATTAAGAATGTGTTATTTGTGGTATATATCCATTTTTATTTACCTGTTTCTGTGTATTATAGTTGGTTTTATAACTATTATTTTTTATTCATATTTTGTACACATTTCTGTGATACTTGTAATATCTTGCTACATGCATAAGATATGTAATGATGGAGTCAGAGTATTTAGGATATCCATCACCTCAAGTATTTATCATTTCTATGTGTTCGGAACATTTCAAGTCTTCTAGCAGTTTTGAAATATACAATACGTCGTTGTTAACTACAGTCACTCTACTCTGCTATAGAACATTAGAACTTACTCCTTCTATCTAACTGTATGTTGGTACTCATTCACCAACCTCTCTTCATCCACCACCACCACCAACCCCCCCACACACATGCAAACACCACACTCACACACACCTTTCCCAGCTTCTGGTATCTATCATTCCACTCTCTACCTCTGTGAAATCAACTATTTTAGTTCCCACATGTGAGTAAGAACATGCAGTATTTGTATTTCTGTACCTGGCTTTTTTCA